TAGATAGATAGATAGACAGAATAGATAGATAGATAGATGGATAGATAGATAGATGGATGGATGGATAGATAGATAGATAGATAGATAGATAGATAGATAGATAGATAGATAGATAGATATGTAAACTGTAATTTGATATATGTAAATGTAATAATGAGACTTTTTATTCCTAATTCTGTGGTTGCTGGCTTCAGTAAATCTCTTCTAGAGAAAGAGTTCTTCCATTGTCCCTCCTCCTCCTCCTCGTGTGGGTTTTATTACATGTTCTGAAATGGGCTCTGTGTCTCTGAAGTCTATATATTGATCCGGTACCTTCTGCCGTTGTGTTTCCAGACAGTGACACTCTGACGCTGATGAACACACCACGATGTTCTCTGCCAGACATCATAGGCATTGAGGACAAGCTGAAAAAGCGCAGAAGGAAAAGATACGCAACCACTGGGCTCCGCTGGACAAAGTCTGACATTACATGGAGGTCTGTATGATCGAGATATGATCACCGCTAACCAAACTAACAAGCATGACTAACTGAAAATCAAGCACTTTATATATGCAAAATATTACTCCAGTAAAAGTAGAATGATGGAGGCACGGTGGCTCAGTGGTTAGCACTGTCACTTTACAACAAGAAGGTCACAGGTTTAAGGGCCAGTTGGCATTTCTGTGTGGAGTTTGTATGTTCTCCCAGTGTTGGTGTGGGTGTCCTCCGGGTGCTCCAGTTTCACCCACAGTCCAAACGCATGCGCTATAGGTGAATTGGATAAACAAAATTGGCCGTAGTGTATGAGCGTGTGTGGGTGTATGGGTGTTTCCCAGTACTGGGTTGCAGTTGTAAGGACATCCGCTACATAAAACATATGGTGGAATAATGGGGTCGCCACAGTGTTAAATAAGGGATAATAATGTTAAATAAGGGACTACGCTGAAGGAAAATAAATGAATGAAGTAGAATTATTATTTTTTTAAATTATATATATATTAATTAAATATATATTTAATTAAATATATATTATATATAATTAAATATATATTAATTTATTAATTTTTTTAATAGGCTCAATTTACAGCTTCCCTAGAGAGTTTTAATAGTTTTTAATCCATTCAGTCGATATCCAGGTCTGGTGCGAGCACTTTTAGCTTAGCTTAGCATAAGTAATTGGCTTATAAATTATATTATTTCAAACTTCTAAAATGTCAATAAAAGTCGCTTTGTTAAACTGTAGAGTTGAATTTCCAACATCAAAAGTCGACACAACAGAGATCAACATCCCATAATGCAATTCACGACTGTAAACAAACAGAAAACACTTGTGAAATACAAGTTACTGAAATAGAAATACATGTTACCGTCCACAACTGTGAATATTCATCATCTGGTTCCTCTTTCTCTTACTAGTGTCCAGAACTACCCGTCTGTCCATAAAAGACTGACACCCACTCAAGTCGACCCTATAATATCCTATGCCCTGAAAGCCTGGAGTGACGTCACCAACCTCAATTTCTATGGAGCGTCCTCCAGCGAGAAGGACAGAGCTGATATCCGGATCTCTTTCGCCCGCTCGCTCCATGATGATGGCTATCCATTTGATGGGAAGGGAGGGACTCTCGCTCATGCCTTCTTCCCTGGGGAGTCGGATGTTGCTGGAGACACACATTTCGACGATGATGAGATTTGGACATACCTAGGTAAGTGCTACAGCCTTTCCTAAATATAAGCCTAATCCCAATTCTACCTCTTCCACATACATTCACATAAAGGGGTAGGGGTGTCACAATTCACTTTAGCTTGAAGGAGTAGGGAAGGGCTAGATCTTCCCAACTTTGTTCCTCAAGGCACACCAACAGTACACATTTTTGGATGTCTACTGTATCTGACACATTCATTTCAGGTTTTGGGGTGTCTTCTAGTGTTCTGATGAGTTGATTCAGGTGTGTTTGATTAGGAAGAGGTTGAAAATGTGGACTATTGGTGTGCCTTTAGGAACAGGGTTGGGGAACACTGGTCTAGATAGAGCTTGAAACTGAGATTTTCCAGGACTAAACTAGAAACAAAGAGGTGTGAAAATTTCCCTAAATACACCAGCTACAATGCACAATCAGATGCATGAATTTAAGTATTTTTAAAAGAATTTTTACAACAAAAAAGCAAATATTTTAATACATTCATAACAGTGTTCATGTTTTACGGTCAGGATTAAAAAAAACAATTGGAAGAGCCAAAGGGAAGGGGTAGGGGTAAAAACAGAATTGGAATTGGGCCATGTGAGTAATAAATAAACAATAATGTGACAATAATTACAGAACAAACCATCATCATACAATAACTTGCCTAATAACCCTAACCTGCCTAGTTCACCTTATTAACCTAGTTAAGCCTTTAAATGTCACTTTAAGCTGTATAGAAGTGTCTTAAAAAATATCAAGTAAAATATTATTTACTGTCATCATGACAAAGACAAAAAAAATCTGTTATTAGAAATAGGTTTTTAAAACTATTATGCTTATAAATGTGCTGAAACAATCTTCCCTCCATAAAACAGAAATTGGAGAAAAAAGTAAACAGGGGCACTAATAATACAGGGGGGCTAATAATTCTGACTTATATATATATATATATATATATATATATATATATATATATATATATATATATATATATATATAGTACATTTATTTACTAATGTTATTTATTTATTATTAAATTAATAAGTAAATGCATACAATAAAAGTTATTGTGAACCAGCAACTGTTGGGCTACCAAGACTTTCTCAAATTTGTATTTATTTATTTATTTTGTGCTCAGCCACTTATCTACACATGTCCTGTTCTTATTCTCTGTATATTTTCAGATGAAAGCGGCACTGATTTGTTTGCGGTTGCGGTGCATGAGTTTGGTCATGCTCTGGGTCTTTCTCACTCCTCCTCTTCCCCCTCCATCATGAAGCCCTATTATCAGGGCTCTGTTGGAGATGTAGGATCCTACATTCTTCCGGACGATGACCGTGAGGCCATTCAGTCACTCTACGGTATTTTTCTTTTCCCTAATATATGTTTAACGGGAAAAAAAAGGTTTTCAACACATCTCTAAACATCATAGCTTGTTCTGTAGACAATCAAAACATATATTGCTTAAGGGGGCTAATAATATTGAGAAATTTAAACTGCTTTTATTCTAGCTGAAATAAAACAAAATAAAACAAATAAGACTTTTTTTCAGAAGAATAAATTTGATAGGAAATACTGTGAAAAAAATCCTTGCCTTGGTAAACATCTTTTGGAAAATATCTGAAAAAGAAAATTCAGAGGAGTCTAATAATTTAGACTTCAACAGTTGGTGGTTGATCCACACAGAACAGCGTATAGACTTAAAGGGGTAGTTCAAAGATAAAATTAGAAATCTGTCGTCATTCACTCATCCTTTATAGGTTTCTGTAACACTTTAGTTTAGGTCACAATTCCCAGTATTAACGAACCATTAGCTAACACTATTAGCTCAGTGACATGCGGTGAGGTTGGTAAGGCAAATTCAAGAGTCAACTTTATCAAATGAAATGACCCACATAGCAAAATTTCTCTGGCCCAGCTCTGGCCCACACAATCAGGTTTTGCTTGGCCCACATGCCGCAGTGAATTACGGTACATGACTGGACCAAATCTGGCTTCCAGACAAGGGCCAAACACAGACCATATCTGGGCCAAGTCTCAGCCAAGTTAATAACTCATAACTGGGCCTGAACTGGGCCAGATAGGTTGGTGTGTCACGATTGCAATGTAATTGATTAACCCATGGAGTGATGCGCTTTAGGCACACTATGGGCACGCTTTTTCTCAAAGTGGCCTGATTGGTAGAATTTTTTTTCTTTACTCAAAAATGATTTTAGTGTATTTTAAATGTGGGTCAAGACTGGCCAAACTCACATGGCCCACTTATCAAATTTTTAAATCTGGGCCAAATACTACGTTTTTCATCTGGCCCAAATCTTGTGTGCCGCCTTAAAAATGGTGCCACCTCTGCCAAACCCAGGCCATGTTTGGCCCACATGCTGTTTGCAAGTGCCGGATGAATGCCTGCTGTGCCATCTTTTTGCCAAATCTGGGCCAGAATTCTTTGCTACTAGGGGAGTGTAGTTAACTCAAACTTTACTGACAGTTAATTTTCCTTATTTGAAAAGAGTTTTGAGTTTCATGGTTGTGAAGTTGTTTATTGATCCTCTGCTCAAACGTTGAGAGATTGAATGTTTTATTACTTTAAAGGCTGTGACTGAAGTCAGCTGTAATAGTTTTATGTTTCTCTTCAGTAATTCTGCTTGTTAACAGCAGGTGTTCATCATTAATGCTCAATCAACACTTGCTTAATCACTTAAATACCTCATTACTTCAACTTAAATGGAGTAAGTTCACAGAACTTATATAGATTAGTTTTCTTTAACTTAAATGGTTTGTTGCAATTGGTTTCCTCAAATGGTTTGAGTTGACTTAACCTATTGGGTTTCACAGGACTCCGTTGGTTTAATTTTTCTTAATTTATTGGGTTTTACAGCTTAAATTGTTTTAAATACTCAAATGAAGTAAGTTCACAGTACTCTTTAGAATTAGTTTTTTTTAAATGGTTTGTTGCAATTGGTTTCCTCAAACGGTTTACCTTAACTAATCGAGTTTTACAGTATATGCTTACCCAAAAAACACACCAAAGAATGTAATTCTTAGAAGTAAATAAAATGTAAATGTTTTTAAACCATATTTACAGGGGTAAATAAATATATTTTAATATTAAAGGTATTTAAAATAACTTTCTTTGAAATCATTTTTTCTTGCAACAAATTTTAAGTACATCACATTTTCTAAAATGTTTGGGTTTATGTGTGAAATAGAAAAAAATAATAATTAATTTAAAATTAATATTAGTTCACACTAAAATTTACACTGTAAAACCCAACAGTCAACTTTATCAAATGAAGTGAGTGTAGTTAACACTAAATGTACTGAAAGTTAATTCTACTCATTTTGAAAAGAGTTTTGAACTCAGCGTTCAAGGTAATAAGTTAATTAAATACCTCATTACTTCAAATTAAATGGATTAAGTTCACAGTAGTCATATAGATTAGTTATTATTGGGTTTTACAGTACTCAGCTGGTTTGAGTTCTCTTCATTTATTGGGTTTTACTGTGTTTAAAATGCTACATTTACTCAAATTGTAGTACTCATAAGGATTAGTTTTTGAACTTAAATGGTTTATTGTAATTGGTTTTCTCAAATAGTTTGAGTCACATTAACTTTTCGGGTTTTACAGTGTAAATATCATGCAAATGTAAATCTATTGGCTTGTTTGGCTTGTGTTTCATTATCTAGAAACCTCTTTTTCTAGGTTACGCTCAGAAATAAAGGTACAAAACATGTCACTGAGTCAGTACAAAATGTACTGTACACTTTTGTACCTTAATGGTACACTTTCGTAATTTTTTAGGTACTAATTTGTACCTTTAAATGTAAATTGTGCATTTGATAAGCACAAAAGAGTATCATTTGAAAAGGCACTGTGCTAGTGACAGGTTTTGTACTTTTTGTTTTAAAGCATTTTGAGAGTGTACTGAGATGATCATGTGTGCATTTGGCTGTCTACATTTTGTTTTTGGTTTTCTAACAGGAAGAAAGATTAGCTCGCCGACACCTTCCCCTAATAAACCTACATCACACCTACCCAAACCACCTGCAACATATCCGAAAGGTCCAGTAAAGTGAGTCATGTTTACCAGATCACAGCAGTCAAAGGTCAAGATGTCAGTCTGCTTTTAATGTTGTGATAATGTAGTGAAACTGCAGGCACAATCGCTGTTGTTTTTCCATCTACCGGTCAGTCCTGAGATAGGAAAAGCCAAGCCTTTTTAGCTTTTCCTATTTATTTATTTTTAAAGAAAACATAGAAAATAAGCTTTTAAGGTTTGTTTTAGTCTGATTTCCTTTACAATATATTTTGTAAAGTTCATTTTCTGAAAAAAAAATTTTTCTCCATTCTCCATTTCAGCAGCTTTTACACACAAAATTTACAGTAACTTACTGGGAATTTTGGTAAATTTACAAGCACTGTACATAAATAATTACAATGGTGGGGTGTTTTGCCATTACCACAATTGCCTGTAAGTTACAGTAATTTTTTTAGTCCCATGCCTAATTAAATTTTAGTCCACAAAAACTGAAAATTTGTATTGGTGTGAAAAATATGTGAATTTTACTGACGTTTTGTCATATTGTCACACTGAATTATAAAGTGATAAAGAGATTTTATAAATCGCCTTTGTAAAAACCTTTGACTGTAAAGTCTCTGTATTTGGTCTGCCCGATTAGTTCGAACAATTAAAAAAAAAAAAAAATTTTATCAAATATATTATTCATTCATTCATTTTCTTGTCGGCTTAGTCCCTATATTAATCCGGGGTCGCCACAGCGGAATGAACCGCCAACTTATCCAGCAAGTTTTTACGCACCGGATGCCCTTCCAGCCGCAACTCATCTCTGGGAAACATATTACTCATTTTTTTATTTATTAATTAATTTATCATTTAGTAATTTTGTTCTAGAAAATAAAGCAAATCAACACCAAATTTAATAAATAATGCATCATTTAGAAAATTTCTAAAAGATTAACAATCTTTGCATTTCCTAATGTAATCAATCGGCTGCATGGGAATATAATGTGATAGCGATTTTTTTTTACTAAATTCACCTGAAGTGTATTGCATTACATCAAAAAAGACAGAAAAATTTACATTGTACCATAATATTTCAAATTCAAATGAAATAGTTTTTAAATTTCTATCAGTTTTTATAGCGTTTAAAAAACAGCAACATTTTTGCACTTTCTCAAACACTCAATACTATCCAGTTAAAAGTATTAACAAATTCTCTGACCTTTCTGTTTGTCTAGACCTGATCCGTCAATCCAGAATCGCTGTGAGGGAGGTTTTGATGCAGTGGCGAACCTCAGAGGAGAAGTTTTCTTTTTTAAAGGTACAGTGCAATAACAATTTCTACAATGTAGAGATTTTGTAAACCAGGGGTGCGTTTTCGAAAACCATCATTAGCCAACTAAGGTTGTTATAAACATAGTTCATTGATTTGGCGTTTCCCAAATCCATCGTTTCAACGAACATTCGCAAACTGCGTCGCAAACTTGTACGCTTGCAACTACACCTCTGGAGCTGTAGTTAGAAACATAGTTCCTGGCTATGTGCTATTCCAAGTTATCCCCCCTATGCCCTATTTGTTTAGAACATTTTAACATTTAAACTCTTATTGGAATTTTTTGCCAATTCCATGCGTGTTCAATAAGAAAAGGTCTGGAGAGGGTTTTCTTCAATGCCAAAAATATTAGTAATTTATTAGATACAAATGAATAATTCGATGACAGAGCTCTGGGTTACGTTACCCCAATGCAATACAAGACTTACATTTAAGAGGTTCGCAACTAACATGCATTTCCTAACTCCAGCATATATACACAACTGATATTAACAGGTGGAGTTTTGGTGTAACGTCACTTGTCAGTCATTGTTCAGTCCTCCATTGGCCGCACCTTCGACATACTTCCTCTTTTTCTACGAATTCTCTGCACAACAACAAAGCATACATCTTTCTGTGTTCTGTGTTCAGTTTTAACACCTCTCTTCAGACAGGAAATTTCTGCAGAGCTGAATTTAATTTTGGACCCGCATCTATCTACTTGCACAGCACTCACACACAACATTAGAAGTTCAGTTAATATATGACTCTTACATGACCAATACAAATAATTGTTTGATTAAAAGAAAAAGAGACAAAAATAATAAAAAACTGATTCCTTTTTTACAACACTCTGAATGATAAAAAAGCATTAATGTCATCTCTCTTAGGTGTTTCAAAGTATTTCTACAGTTCAGTTTTAGCGATCTTCATGTCTACAAATGCACTCTCTTCGCAGTGCACTTTGAAACCATCGATGTCATTTTGAACACAGCCGTGGCTCATTACGAGAGCTATACTGTAGGTGACCTATTATTTAAAAGCAGAAGTTATGTTACATCTCCAAAGCTAGTGAAAACAAAAAACAGAGCATACATTAATGCTTTTTAATTATAGTAGCTTATTTATGAAGTTTCTGAACTGTATATGACACGGGCCTGCTTAGCACATTTCTGCAGTGGTTTATATGTGTCAAATTCTAGAAGTTGACTTTTCAAAAAATAAAAAAATAAATCCTACCTAATAATAATAATAATAATAATAATAATAATAATAATAATAATAATTATTATTATTATTATTATTATTATTATTATTATTATATTTATAATAATAATAATAATAACAATAAGCATAATAAAATAATAATAAAATAATAATAATCCTCATCATCATTAATATTATTATTAAAGTAGGATTTTTTTATTTCCCAATAAATAATAAATAAAATATATTACATTTCTTAATAAATAGGCTCATTATTTATTTATATAATTATCTGATATATAAATTATATTAGGGCGATGTAGTGGCGCAGTAGGTAGTGCTGTCCGCAATTCTATATAATACTAAAAAAAATATGTTTTATAGAATTATCTGTTCATCGAAAAGTTGCTAAAACTCGCTAGATTACGTCATACGTTAATTTGCATATTACTGACGTCATCATGTTCTACCATTTCTGTTTGTTTAATAGCCTATGGTTAATAAAGGGGTATTTATATTTGCACTACGCTGTATATAAGCATGTCAATTAAACTAAATTTATTGCTGTTTGTTTAACACAGTGTATCAGTATAGATGTGTAGTGAATTTGTAGTGTAGTGAATTTGCAGTAATCTCCCAGACAAGTTCCAAAACTGTCAATAAAATATCTGTGATTAAACAAGAAAAGAATAAACGGTCCAATTAAATTGTTAAAATAAAGGAGAAGCAGATCGGTTTGACAGTGCAATGGAAATACCTCTGGAAATACTGCCAGTGCGAAATAATTTGCCGTCGGTACGCAGAGGAGTGATCTGCTCTTAGGCTGCAGGTGAGAGAGACTCCTGTACGTGGACTGGGCCTCGTCTTTCAGTGCTCTGAGGCAGGGGAGGGGTCGACGGCATCACCCACTGCTCGTTGAGAAGAGGATAGGGATGGTACATTATGGACAAATGACAGTCTATAAAAATCTACAGCAACACAAAAAATTAGCACAAAAAAGTCGCTAGAATTGTCGCTAGTCGCTTTTTTGAAAATTTGTCGCTAGGGGGGTCTGAAAAGTCACTAAATGTAGCGACAAAGTCACTAAGTTGGCAACACTGGCGTCAGTTTGCTTTCACCAGTGGTCAAAGAGCATAGAATGACCAAGAGGCGACACTCAATAGAACGTTCCAATGCAACAGTAGCGCCCAGCAACAGCCCTGGATTCCGCCATTTTGGAGTAAAAGCTGTCCATTGGATCTCATTACTGTCGTGATGGCAAGCAGCTGCTTTGTTTTTTATTTATTTATTTTAAAAGGGCATTAAAGCTGAGATACAACCTGAAAGACGACAATACAGCACTTACTATCACAATCATCAACACTTTTAATAGTTTATTTTACAGACTTATAATACGCTCTTGTTCTATTGGAGTTTTCATTCTAAATGGCCGCCGCACCATCTAGTGGCTGTTTCCCAAATTACACTAGAGTGTCGCCTCTTGGTCATTCTAAGCTCTTTGGCTCAATGTTTAAACTTGCTTGTGGAAAAACATTGTGTTGTTACTTGTTGCTCTTGCCCAGGTCCATATTTCTGGCGAATCCAGCGGACGGGTTCTCTAGTGTCCTTTCAGCCTGCTCACATTAAGAACTTCTGGATGGGTCTTCCTCCAACCACCAATAAGGTAGATGCAGTCTATGAAAGAAAGGTGGACAACGCAATCATCTTCTTCATAGGTTGGTCTCTCTTTATTTGCAGTGAAAAATATATGGAACAATTGATTTGAAAATTATTTTTAGTAAGTTATGCGTAACTTTTCCCACATAGGCTCACAGTACTGGGTATTTAAAAACACGGAGGTGCTTCCTGGCTATCCACGTCCATTGTCTGACTGGGGAATGATCACTCAAGATGGAAGGAAGGTGATGAGAGTGGATGCAGCCTTTATTTGGGCTCATAATGGAAAAACCTACATTTTCAGCGGTGGAGAGTTCTGGAGGTTCTCTGAAGGCAGGGAGACTGAGCTGCGCGGTCCGGACACAGGCTATCCCAGAAACACCAACCTCTGGAAGGGGGCGCCAAGTAACCCGGATGACGTCATCACCTGGGGACAAGGTAAAGTAATAATATAGAGGAAATCAGTTTGCCTCAAACGCATTTTCTAAGGTGAAACAACATTTAAGAAATTTATTCAGTGCTGATTCTGTGATTTTCTAAATTTATCACTATTCTCACTTGAAAGAAATTCTGAGTTTAGTTTTTAACAGCAGATGGTGCTGTATTCTTTACAAACAGCCTGCTTGTATCAAATTCTTTACAAATGTCACTTAAACCTAAAATAATAAAGCTACAAAAGGTTTAACCAAATTACAAAATTGTTCAGAGTAAGTCATTTATCTTATGATATGAAAGTCAACCTACATGACTCAGCCGAATGCATCTTACTCATGAGCATTTGAATGTTCAGTTAAAAACTAGCCTAGAGCACCATCCGCTGTTCAAAACCTATTTGTTGTTAAAAAAATTGCCTAGTGCCATCCGCTGTTCAAAACTAGCCATCCGTTGTTAAAAACTAGCCTAGAGCACCATCACTGTACAAATTTAGCCATCTGCTGTTTAAAACTAGCCACCCATTGTTAAAAAAATAGCCTAGAGCACTATCCACTGTTCAAAACTAGCCATCCGTTGATAAAAACTAGCCTAGAGTGGCATCTATTGTTCAAAACTAGCCATCTGTTGTTAAAAAATAGCCTAGAGCGCCATCTATTGTTCAAAACTAGCCATCGACTGTTCAAAACTAACCTAGAGCGCCATCAGCTGTTCAAAACTAGCCATCTGCTGTTTAAAACTAGCATAGAGCACCATCCGCTGTTCGAAACTAGCCATCCGTTGTTAAAAAACTAGCCTAGAGAGCCATCTATTGTTCAAAACTAGCCATCCACTGTTCAAAACTAGCCTAGAGCGCCATCTATTGTTCAAAACTAGCCATTCACTGTTCAAAACCTAGCCTAGAGCGCCATCTACTGTCCAAAACAATCCATCCATTATTAAAAACTAGCCTAGAGCACCATCCATTGTTTAAAACTAGCCGTTTACTGTTCAAAACTAGCCTAGAGCGCCATCTATTGTTCAAAACTAGCCATCCACTGTTCAAAACTAGCCTAGAGCGCCATCTATTGTTCAAAACTAGCCATTCACTGTTCAAAAACTAGCCTAGAGCACTATCCGCTGTTCAAAACTAGCCATTCACTGTTCAAAACTAGCCTAGAGTGCCATCCGCTGTTCAAAACTAGCCATCCGTTGTTAAAAACTAGCCTAGAGAGCCATCTATTGTTCAAAACTAGCCATCCACTGTTCAAAACTAGCCTAGAGCGCCATCTATTGTTCAAAACTAGCCATTCACTGTTCAAAACCTAGCCTGGAGCACCATCTGCTGTTCAAAACTAGCCATCCATTGTTAAAAACTAGCCTAGAGTGACTTCCACTGTTCAAAACTAGCCTATAGCGCCATTCGCTGTTAAAAACTAGCCTAGATCACTGTCTACTGTTAAAAATAAGCCTAGAATGCTATCCACAGTTAAAAACTAGCCTAGAGTGACCTCCACTGTTCAAAACTAGCCTATAGCGCCATTCGCTGTTAAAAACTAGCCTAGATCACTGTCTACTGTTAAAAATAAGCCTAGAATGCTATCCACAGTTAAAAACTAGCCTAGAGCACCATAGTAAAAACAAGTCTAGAGTGCCATCCACTGTTAAACACCAACCTAGAGCACCATCTGTTGTTAAAAAATAAAAAATCTAAGAGTGCCATACACTTAAAACTAGCCTAGCCTATAGCGCCATCCATTGGTAAAAACTAGCCTAGAGCCCCATCTGCTGCTAAACTAGCTGCTTTTATTGTAATATTACTTCTTTAAATGCATTAAGAGATTGATATATCCTTGACTGATAGATGATACCAAAAATACAATTAAATAAAAAAATTAGAACATTGATTACACTGCTAATTTTCACATTGATGTAATCCCTCTCAGGAGACGCCTATTTCTTCAAGGACAATTCATACTGGGTGCTGAAGAATGGAGAAATGGACCAGACCAGTGTCACTAAGAAATCAACCGCAGTGGACTGGATGATGTGTCAGCAAGAGACAACCAAAGCTCCAGAAAGCCCACGGCGGAGAGAAGGAGTGAACTGCTACTGTGACAACAGCGCGGGCCTGCAGATGAGTGTTTCAGCCTGGCTACTGCTCATCACAGCACTGCTTCATATTGGCTTCAACTCGCAATAATACTGTCATCTGCCTTATTTTATATACAGACTGCCTCAAAGCACTTATAGTGATATCCAGTGTTGAGGGTAGCACATTACAAGTCACATGAGTAACGTAATAATATTACTTTTTAAGTAACAAGTAAAGTAATGCATTACTTTTAAAAAGTACAGGTGAAACCAGAAGTTTACATACACTCTATAAAAAGGCACATAGCCATTTAAAAAAGGTCAGATGTAAATATGACTAAACTTTTTCTTTTTTAGGTAAGTTAGGATTATCACATGGGTTTCTGTTCTGCTTAATAGCAGAATAATAAGAGAATATTTATTGAGAAATTGTTATAACTTTTCTTGAAAGTCAGGTTTACATACAAGAAGATTATTCTGCCTCTGAAAAAGCTCAGATGATGATGTCAAGGTTTTGGAAGATTCTGATTGGGTAATTGACAATATTTGAGTTAATCTGAGGCAATACAATTAATAGGCTAGTCTAACATGACACAACAGAACAGAATTAACACAAATGAACCCCAAACAGAAACACTGGGGAAAATGACGCCATCATGTGGAGAAAACAAACAATAGCCCAGAATATGACACTCCATGGAGTAGATCGATTTAGCTAGCCAAACCTAGACAGACGCCATTTCTACAAAAGGTAAAAATGTTGTTTTTAATGAAAGAATATAATTAAAGAGATTTCAGATTTCCAAAATTAAAGTAAATGTAAAGTCTTTAAACTCAAATACATCAGAAATGAAAGAAGAATACTGAACATCATCCAGCTCTCAGCTATTTGTAGATGTTTCTGCCAAATAGCACGTTTAATAAAGCAATGCTCCATCTGCATATTTAAAAATACCATTTTAGACAACTTGTAATAGAAAAGGTTTGCAGTTGTTAATGTAAGATTGGTGGGAATATCGGTAATATTGTGATAATGTGTTCACTTTGCTTTGTTCACCTGCAGTGTCTTTCCTATTTTAGTTCTTTTTTGTATATCTTTTTGTTGTTGTTGTTGTTTAAGAAATTGGTTATATATTTTTCTAATTATTTGTCGCATTTTTCTGTCACCCTATTATATTATTTAATACATTCAATTATTGTCCATTTGACAGTGTATTTATATTTCATCCGTGGCTACAGGGTAAAATACAAAGTACAAAAGCTAATAACTTAATGCATTCATTAATGCATTGACGACAACATGAGATATTCTGAAATTTTTAGTTATTATGATCTCAGACTGTTATGACAGAAAGATCCACGTGGTGGCAGAAACACACAACAGTGAATAGTTCTTCAGCACAACTGCTTTTCTTGGTTCACATTGCTGTTGTGGTTAGCTGGGTGATGATTTTACAATCACAACATTCATATTATAAGTATTAATAGTAATTCATACAATTATTACATTTAAACGATTTTATTTATTTGCTTTGCTAAATTGGATTGACTTACAAGGCTTTTTCAGACCAAGGGTGTATTCCAGAAAGCAAGGATAAGATCTGCTAAATTTAGAAAGGCTTGATTAAATCTAAATCTATTTATTAAAGCTTTGTCAGTTCCAAAACCACTCCTGGAAGTTCAGTAAACTCAGACTATGTTAATACAGAGCACATGATACATTCTAAATGAAGGCAATACGTCGAGGCACCAAACGCAAAACAAACAAATAAATAAATAAAATAAAAGTGTGAAATGCCTTTATTCTTCCCATTTTTCTGTTTAATGGAAAAGTAAAGTACCCCCTATTAGTACTTTTTGTTTAACTATTTGTTAAAAAGCTAACTATATTGGTAAATTGTAACTATAATATAACTATATTATTGTTTAACTGCCAATTATACATTAAATTAAATGTTGTGTTGTGTGTTTGTCAGAAACTGTGCACTCAAAATAACAAACATGTTTTTTTTTATGCTTTTTCAAACTACTTTACAAATTACTCATTACAGCTACCTAAAACAACACAATTCTTAAGGTTTTTTGGGGAAAATTAATTGTTTTACAATCAATCTAAATTTGTAAAAATGGTTTAGTTAACTTAATCGATTGGTGTTGGGACAGCATGAAAAAATGGTGTGGAATCTGGCATTTTTTTTTTTTTTTAACATTTCTTTCTTTCTTTCTTTCTTTCTTTCTTTCTTTCTTTCTTTCTTTCTTTCTTTCTTTCTTTCTTTCTTTCTTTCTTTCTTTCTTTCTTTCTTTCTTTCTTTCTTTCTTTCTTTCTTTCTTTCTTTCAGTTCTTTCTTTCTTTCCATCCATATATATATATATATATATACAGTAAACACATATACAGTTGTATTCAGAATTATTAGCCCCCTGAATCAAAAACCTCACTGTTAATTTTTTCCCCCAATTTCTGTTTAATGGGGAGATTTTTTTCGACACATCTCTGAACATAATAGTTTTAATACCTCATTTTATTCATATATATATATATATATATATATATATATATATATATATATATATATAT